TGTGTGTGTGTGTGTGTGTGTGTGTGTGTGTGTGAGAGAGAGAGAGAGAGAGAGAGAGAGAGAGAGAGGTTAACAGCAACGTCTATTCAAGAGTTTGTCCTAAATTAAACTGTCAGTTTGGGCCATCTCTGATTGCTTTAGCCAAAGGAAAAATAATCTTGTCTGTTTATGACTAAAGGTATATTTACAATTTGGAACAACAGGGCATACAAGACAGTAGGCATCCAGATGTGGTGGAGCAGGCCTGTTACCACAGTCCTGGAAGGACTGAGGCAAGAGAATCATGAATTTAAGGCCTGACTGACCTATCTCCAGAAATTTACAAAAGGAAATCAAGCTCCTGCCTTCTAACCGGGTGACTGCTATGTTCAGTGATGATTATACTTCAAAGAGATTGTCCATGTCCTTGAGAAGGAAACTCTTGACCCTTAAATTTGGCATGAGTCTTATTAGCTTTTTCAAAGATTCATACACACTTCACATACACAGAAAAAAAGATTTGCAACACATGGTTATGATATAAATGATCTAAGGAAAGAGAGGGTTTTTTTCTTTTCATTTTCAACATAAAATAAACCTTATATATTATTTACTTGTATTTCTCCCTATAGGTAGTACAATTTCTATAACTTCATAGCTATTCAAAAGAACCAAAATATAAAACTACAGCAGTTGGAGATACCAGAGGAGCTCACTTTGGGAGCTTAAGTAGCTGTAGATATTTTTTCTTTGCAGTTTTTAGCTACAATGAAGCCATCAGGGATACCATGTAAAATTAGATCCCTTCAAAAATTGTGCACCAAAGGGTTCTGAGTCTGTTATTTTCTATAGGAAGACTGGCCACACAGTGAACTTTCCGAAGTCAGGGCACAGGTCTGCCTGGATTTCACACAACATAAATTATGGCTATATATTCCAGTGGTAACCCCACGTTGGTCAGGTCTTAAAATTTCCAGGAGAAAAGAAATTATTGAGGTTAAAAATAATTGGTAACCAGGTTTATTCAGGATCCAGATAGTATAGACTGTATTTTTATACAGATTTATTACCTGGAGATAGAGAAAGCAGGGGCATTCTAAACTGTCAAGTCATCAACGTTTGGAGAACAGTTGCTGAGCATGATGGGAAAAACCTCAACCGATTGCCTCCTCCAACAGTTTGCTAGAGGCACAAAAATGTCAACTCATATGAAGTTTCAGACTACAAATTTCTTAAAATGACAGGTGAATTCAGGCACTCTGTAGGAAATAATACTGGTTGACAATCTACGGTTTGCAGGTACCATAATACACTGTAGTTAGCAGTGGAAAAAAATAGAACCTTAAAATGTATTTTCAACATTATTATGGGAATTAAAGGAGTAGTTGAAAAATAGAGAATCACAGCAAAAGAGGTTTTCAAAAGAGTTTACTAATTAGAGGATACACATCCTCCCTAAATACATATAAAGATATATCCTCTCACTATGAGGCCTCATAGCAAATCTCAGTAAATACAGAAGATCTAGACAATGTTTTTCAGCCACAGCATAAAAACAATAAATAAGGATAGAGGGAGCCCCTAAGTTTACGATTGTTTTCAAAAATCAAACTTGTCTGTAAAAATCACAATGGAAATAATAATCACTTGGCTTCTGCTACAGTAGGCTAATGACAGAAAGAGAGTAGACATGAATAAATAAAATTCAGTATGAAAAGGGGAAATGGTTAAAGACAAATCAACTAAAAATGAGATAGTCAACCCTAACGAAGTGACAATGTATAAATTACTGAACAGTTACAAAAAGACAACTGAGAGTCAAAAGAGAAATAGAAAACCTAAATACTTAACTATATATATATACATATATATATATATGTATATACACATACATATATATTATAATATAACAATAGAAACTTCCTTCCCACAGTTTTTGCAGGTGACTATTCACTAACAGTCAACATCAATGTTATACTCGGTACTCAAATCTAAACAAATACTGCTGTTCTGCTTAGCCTTGAAAGCAAAGACAAGTGGGAGCAGCCAGTAAGCTCTCCGTTGTGATATGAGCACATTTAAAAGTTAATTGCTTCTAATGGAAAACACAGAATAATTTCGTACTTGGTGTTTGAGTTGACCTGTCATCGTAAGCAGCGATGGACAGCCTTCTTAGGCTTAGAGAGCTCATTGTTTCTAAGAAATCACCCACAATCTGTGTAAGCACTAAATTTACACTGTAAAAGTGAAGAGCCACATATAAAACTGGTTTATTTGTACTGGCTTGAAAACTGCTCATCACCAGTTCCGTCAGCTAAACGAACAGACTACACATTAGCTATGAATACCAAAGGCATCATTCCTAATGGGAGAAAAATCATTTCATGCTGTGACCAGCTGACTTACACACTGGGGAAAGAACACTCGGTTCTCTTTTTATCATTAATGCTTCTTGGATCCTCAACCCACAGTTCTCTACATTTATGTGTCCTTGCCATTGTAATAATCTGTAACTACTGGGAAGCAGAATTTTAGAGATGAGTCTCACTCAGTCAATTAACAATAAAGTGTAGTTGACAGGCAGTCCTCACTTGAGTGTTTTCTTAAAGCAGCATCTCCCTTAGCATAGTCCCCAACCTGCAGCATAAGTACCCCTTGGAATTTGTAAAGATGTAAATCCCAGAATTTGCTCAAACCTTCTGAATCAGAAGCCTAGGAGAGGAACCCTGAATCTGGAGGTTCCGATGCACAGTCACTTCAATAATGATTGGCCTGAATAAGTCCACTATATGAAACAAAGACCGGTTCATTAAGCTATCTGTAAACTATACATTGTCAACCAATATTTTCACCACTGCATGTGAATTTGCCTGTCATTTTAAGAAATTTGTAGTCTGCAACTTCATGTGAGGTGACATGTCTAATGCCTCCAGCAAAATGTTATATTGAGTTTCATCTCATGCCCAGCAGTTTTCTTCAAAATAATAATGTCTTGACAAGTTGGTGAGCCCCTGCTCACCCCTCCCATATATTTAGTCTATCAATGACCAGGATGCACTGTGAGGAATTTTGATGTCAGATGTTTGGGATAAAGTCTAAGTATTGGTGTTTTCTCCCTAGCACACAATAAGAACACACACATACATGCAAGCAGGGGCACATATGTATATATCTCTTCCTAGTATATAGCAATGTAGAATGCTAATGTTCTTTAAAACCATTGCTATTTCAAGGTTAAATAATCCAAATACAGCACAGAAAGATTTGAATATTTCTGATGCTAAGTGCCCAAACTATTGTTCAGAACACTGCCTCGACTCCTCTTCACTTTTCAAGACTCATTAGACATAGACTAACATGGGAGAATGTACATAACCATGATGATTGGGCTCTCCACCACTAAATTTCACCTTCAAGCCTTTCTGAATGTGTCTATGTTCCAGGACAAGCTTCAAAATTGGGTTATTACTGTGGGCCAGAGTGGTGGTTGGCAAAGAGACAGTTGAAGACTGGGAGATTTTAAATTGAGGATTGGGCTCACTGCTAAAAGCACGGCAAACTTCCATGATATTAAATGCAGCCCACACTCAGGACAACCTCCAGGAATGGAACTGTTTGGAAGGGAGAATGTTCCATCTTGCCAAATGCCACCCCCTCTTCTCTTCCAAGTTCTTAGAATTCTCCACAGGAAAGAACCTTTCCCAGCATAGAAATCTGTCCTCTACCCCCTCCCCTCCCTTGAGGACAAGTATTTGCCTGCTGGGGAGCCAGACTCTATACCGTGGGATTACATAGTGCCAAATCAATCTTCACAGTTGTATTCCAAAATCATCTGGAGACACATTTTGAGAATGCTGTTGTTCTCCTTAATCACAGGCTCTAGATACAATTGTAACTCTCAGGGAAGTAAGCAAATATGCACACACAGCCCCATCTCTCTTCTGAATTTTTAAAACATTTTCTGATGTTTTAAAACTCACAATTCTGAAATGATATCAAAACTGCATACAGACATATATATGGCCTCATCAACATGTTGTAGGGGCAAGTAACATGTCTTATATAGAGAGCACAAATTGGTCTTTGTTAAAATCTACTTTGTGTCATGTCAAATTCGCATGTTGAAGTACTAGCCCACAGCATCTTAAAATGTGACTTCCTTTGGAAATCTTGGTCAAAGCACTAATTAACAACTAAATGAAGCTATTGGAATAGGTCCTAATCCAGTCTGATAAGTACATCCAACAGGACACACATCACAGGGACAGAGCAGCCATCTACAGGCCAAAGCAGCATCAGGGAAAACAAGCATCTTGACCTTGAAAATCCAAAATTGTAAATACATATTTTATTGTTTTATTTTACTTCTTGCATTTATGTTGATCCACTTTGAAGGTGTGTGTGTGTGTCTGTGTGTGTGTGTCTGTGTGTGTCTGTGTGTGTCTGTGTGTCTGTGTGTGCAATGTATGCACATGAGTGGTTAATGTGAGTACCTGTACATGCACATGCAGAGGTCAGAGGAGGGCATCAAATCTCTTACTGAACTGGGAACTTGCTGTTGCAGCTCTGCTGACTGACCAGCATGCTACTGAGATCTGCCTGTCTCTATTTCCCAAGGATGGAGTTACAGTGGCTTGGAGCCATGCTTGGCTCTTTCACGTGAAGGCTGAGAATTCACATTTCAGGCCTCATGCTCAGACACCAAACATTCTTCCTTATAGTGGTATTTTCCCAGCCCCTAGAAAATAAGGCTCTGTTGTTTAAGCCACCCCATTGGTACTTTCTTGTAACAGCTTTTGGTAATGATGCACTGACCTTTTTCCATGGCTGCATTTTCTTACCTCCTGGAGCCACCCTCTTCTCCTAAGCATTCCTCTATCATGGTGAAACTCTGATGTAGGCAGCATACAAAATGAGATTTTGTGTTTTGCAATGCACTGTGAAATAGAAATCTCTCTCTCTCTCTCTCTCTCTCTCTCTCTCTCTCTCTCTCTCTCTCTCTCCTCACAAATTCTATGATGAAAAATGAAAAGAGAAATGACAGAAAAGTAAACTCAAATTAACAAAGTAACAGGAAAGACAGAATCTAAAAATGAAAGACAGAATGAAGCAAGATGGTGAAGATCTGCAGAAGAAAACTTCAAGGCAGTGAGCAGCTAGTCTTGGCTTAATGGGAGTAATCAGTGGGAGAGTTGAGTAGGAGAGAGCATGCATGGGGCCCCAAATTCAATTCTTCTGGTTTACAGTAAGAGGTAGTATGGGTATTAGGAAAGGAAACATTTTTTAGCAAATCAATTATGGGTCTGACTTTGCCAAGTGCATGCACTGAAATTAGGTCAAACCCAACACAAGATAAATAAACTAATAATTCAGCACATAGAATGTGGAAGCCACCCTCAATACCCTACATTTGAAAAAAAATATTTCCATAATAGAAGAGTGTATCCTGAAAGACGAGCAGAACTCAGAAAGGGAAGAAGAGCACAGAGGCTCCCACTAGCTTTCTAGTTACCAACTTCCTCACAGTGACATTGTCACAGACCTAAGCTGTGGGATGACCCTGCCAGGATAACAGCAACAGCTCCTGTATGAGGTGTTTTTATTTGACACCTGCCCCTTCTAGTTAGCAAGATATCTCCCTCACAACCACTGAAGACAGATATCTCACCTTAGTAAGCCCCTCTATAGATCCTAGAGCTTTCTATCAACAGTAGTAGGGAGTCAGGGCCAAATGTTTGTGAGTAGTAAAGGGGAGCTTGGGAGGCTTGGGTGAATGAATGGCTAATGAGTTGAGATTTCTACAATGTCCCCATTCTCAACAGAGAATTTTCCACAAGACTGGATTCTAGACATAAAGCAAATTCTAATTCCTATTTCTTACAATTTTGTCACTTGAGCTTTTGAAATAATTGGCAATGAAAATGCTTTTTGAAAACCATGAAGCTGTACATTTTGCATATTAATACACTCAAGAATAAGATATTATTAATGATATTACTAGACTATGTTTCTTCATACAAAACATTTTCCAATATGATTAAGAATAGAAATAAAGAAAAACAAACAAGTTAATTCGAAAAGAAATGGGCAAATGATTTGGGAAGAAGAGACAAACATAATGA